TTTTTTTTTTAATAAATAAGAACATAAACATACATTAAACTTTACCTCTCCGAAGCGTATACCGCTACCACACAACCAGGCCCATTGTTTGGGCAGCTTTTCATTTGGCTCTCCGTACAGCTGCAGCACCGAATAACTCAATTCAGTTTCAACCATCTCGGCACCATGAATTTGTTGCCCATTTACATAATTGGCAAAAATGAACTGTAGAGATCTATCATCAGATTTACAATTCTCTTGGAATGTGTAAATGCAATCAGGTGCAGTTGCAATGACCATAAATCTGTTTGTATTGGGTAGGCGTAATAACTCCAATCCCGTTATGGGATACTTTGTACGTCCCAAACCCAAGTCGTACACCTACAAATAATTTGTGGTAAGTAATTGACAGAAAAAAGTACATGCATACATATTACTTGTTTTCGATACAGGGGAGACAAACCATCTTGCACCAGTTCCGTTTCGAAAATCAGACCCCTACTGGTACCCAGCAATATTGGTCCCGTAGAGGATTCCGTGCCCATATAACGGTTAAATGCGACCGATGTAATTTCATGATCTTTGAACTTTTCCACACGCCTCACTTTTGGCCCATTCGCATGTATATAAAGAAAGTCTGCCGATAGACCGGGCGTCTGCGGAACCAATGGTATAAGTGTATGGTGTCCAGTATAATCGAGGAATACTTTTGATATAGCGTAACCCGCTAAATACTTCTCCAATGCAATTTCTATCAAAAATATATATAAATAATGTAAGTGGCATAAGTTGATATCATATGGTGAACATGTAGTTCTGTTTACATACCGCCTGGAGGCAGCGCTCTAGGCAAAAAGAAACGTAATAATATAGTTTGCTGCGTATCCAGCACACAAATTAACCATCTCTTATTTACAGCTGCATGCATTAAGTTTCCTTTGTAGTTCGATGGTATACGCAACGTTATTTGGCGTTTGCTGAAAATGGGCGTCTCCAGTTTATCATAATCTGTTGTGCCAGCGGCAGGACAGTCTGCAGTTTTGCCATCTACCACAGGTAGGAACTTTGCACTTGGCTTATATTGCATCCAGCTGTTATCTTCATCAAAAGACGACATTGTTTTGCTTCACTTTAAATTAATTAAACTATGCACACAGGAATTGAACAATTTTCATCGAAATTACAAATTATCTATTAATTCCGCTGCACATATACATATGTACATATATCTTTTTTGCAAACAGCTGTTTTGCTAAAATACAGTGTTGCCATAACTCGGGGGAATAATTATTTTGAAAAAAGGGGGATATTAAGGTACACATAAGTGGGATGTATTCCCGCTTTTGATAAGATGTTAACAGTTGCCAATAGATGGCGCCTGATATTACAAAAAATTTGTTTAGCCCTGTTTTCGTATTGTAGCGAAAGTGCGCAACAGGGGCGTGCCTTCTCTTTTGCCCTAGTGCGTTTTTTGATTGGATGAAAAGAGAAGTCACGCCCCTGTTGCGCACTTTCGCTACAATTATAACGAGTTGTCCCTTTTTTCTTTCTACGTTCTTTCGCTCTACTAGCGGTAGCCCCTGGAAGCGTGCAGCCTCGACGGGGTCTGTCCATAGGGACACGAGCGTTAGTGAGGTGGGATTCACAGGGCATACGAAGAGATGCTGTGAGTCATGAGTCGACTCTCCTCATGCCGGGCATTCGTTAAGAACATCCTCCGAGTCTCCCGAGGCAGACGAAGTTCTGTCTCGTCCACGTCTGGTGGTTGTGTGCCCAGAACGGCATTCACAGGTCGGGACTCGAGACTGCCTCTCTGTGAATGCCGTTCAAGGCCTGTCTATAAGCCGTTGGGTCCAGAGGTTGTTTGATGAACCTCTGGACCTCGTCCGTCAGTTCGTTTAGATGCCTCCTGACATGCCTGGGCGAGGACTCTTCTGCAAGGAGTTGTCTGTTTGGGTGAC